TTTTTAGCAACGAGAAGAATCAACGACTCCTATCAGACGATCTCGAGGTGAATCGACCCAAGGCTGTAATGCGCCCCGATTAGCCTTTGTACAGCCTTCACATTATCCACTACCATGATATCTTCGATTGTTTTGATCTTATCAGGATTGATCTCAATTCCCCGATTCGAAACCATGAATCCGAGAAACTTGCCGGATCCGACCCCGAATACACATTTCTTTGGGTTGAGCTTTTTGTTGTATTTCTTCAGTATTCTGAAAGTTTCCTACAAATCCTTCAAATAGTCCTCTGCTCGCAGGGACTTAACTAGCATGTCATCAATATAAACATCCATAGATTTCCTCATTTGTTCTTCGAATATTCGGTTTACTAGGCATTGATAGGTTGCACCAGCATTTTTTTAGTCTGAACGACATTACATTTAGGTACCATACCTGGTCTTCCGGGTTCATTTATATTTGGTTGTACCTGGAATAGGCATCAAAAAAATTGAGGATCTCATGGCCAGTCGTGGCATCGATCATGCGATCGTTGTGAGGCAAAGGAAAAGAATCTTTGGGGCATGCTTTATTTAGGTTTTTATAGTCTACACATATCCTAATTTGTTTTCCCTTTTTAGGAACTACTACTATATTCGCTAACTATTCGGGATATTTTACTTCCCAGATGGATAATATTTTGAGAAGTTTAGTTACCTCATCTTTGATGAAAGCGTGTTTTACCTCGGACTACGACCTCCTTTTTTGTTTCACCGAGCGGAACTTCGGGTCCAAGCTTAGTTTATGAGTAGTGATGTCCAGTGGGATCCCTGTCCTATCGAGATGGGACCAGGCAAAACAATCCATAGTAGCTATAAGAATTGAACAAGTTTTTTCTTGAGCTTATGAATTAACCCCGTGCCTAGGTATACCTTTCGATCAGGCAGATGCTCGATTAGTATGATTTATTCCAGCTCTTCAATTGTTGATTTTGTGGTGTCAGAATCATCGGGGATTATGAAGGATCAAGGTATCATATAGTCATCATCCTCGTAAGTCCCCTGCTCCTCTAGTTGGGTCGAGGCCGATGTATGTGGTTACTATTTAACCTCCTGTTTCCCTTCTAACTTGAACCTTTTGTTGATGAGAGCACCGATATTGGTATCAGTTCATCGATGACAAATATTTCCTTGGCGGCGGGTTGGTCCCCGTAGACTGTTTTGACTCCCTCCAGTGCTGGAAAGTTTAGAACCTGGTGAAGGGTCGAAGGCACTACCCTCATGTTACGGATCCACGGTCTCGATAATAGGGCATTATACCTCATATCACCCTCGATTACATGGAACTTCATTTCTTGGATGGTCCCAGCCACATTTACTAGCAAAGTTATTTCGCCTTTGGTGGTTTCACATGCCATATTGAGGCGGTTTAGAACTCGGGCCACGGGTGCATCCTGATCCTGTAGGCCGAGCTGTCCTACGACCCTTGATCGAATTATGTTGGCCGAGCTACCTAGATTAATCAAAACACGTTTAACTTGAGTCTTATTCATAAGTACAGATTTTACCAGTGCGTCGTTGTGGGGTTGTTCTATCCCTTCTGCATCTTCATCATTGAAAGACAAGGTTCCTTCCGATACATAATCCCAAGTTCATTTCTCCCTTGTGATCGACACCTTGGTACGTTTAAACACTGGTTCTTGAGGAGTATCAACCCCTCCAATGATCATATGAATTACGTGTACTGGTTCTCCCTACTCATTATGTCTACTGGAATCTTTGTTTTTGAAGTAATTCTTGGCCCAATCGCTTAAAAATTCCCAAAGATGCCCTTCGTTGAACAATCGGGCTGCTTCATCCCTTAGCTACCAGCAATCTTCCATTTTATGACCATGGGTGCCATGATACTTGCATATTTGGTTCGGATTTCTCTGGGCCAGATCGGTTTGCAGAGGTCGAGGCCATCTAGTATCCTTGATACGTCCTATGGCTGACATGATGGCCGATGCATCTATTTTAAAGTTATATTCCGACAATCGTGGCACTTCTTTGGGCCCGACATCCATGTCAAAACCACCCTTGCTCATGAGTCCCCATGAACTTTGACCTCGATTATTTCTCCTCTTATTCCGTGCAAAATTTTATCCAGACCCGTTTCCTCTACAGTCTTCATTGTACGGTTGATATCGATCTCTATTCGACCTTGGCTCTCGGTCAATATCCCTATTGATTCTATCCACGAGCCTATTAGGATAAACGAACCCGGAAGAAGTCCCTATTTGATCATCCTCAACCCTAATCTTTGACTGATATCGATTATGTACATCGGCCCAAGTGACAGCTGGATACTCGATCAAATTTTGCTTCAACTGCTGTGAATTTATGGAACTCCAAATGTTGAGACCTTGAGTGAAAGTTTGAACAGCCCAATCGTCGGTGACCGATGGCAAATCCATTCTCTCCATTTGGAATCGAGTACGAATTCCCTGAGCATCTCTTTATCTTTCGGCCTTACCTTGAAAAGGTTCGACTTTCTTGTTGAAACCTTAATGGCTCCGACGTGCACCTTTACAAAAAAATATGCAAGAATAGCAAATGAATCAATAGAATTAGGCGATAAATTATGATACCATATCATGGCACCCTTTGATAGAGTCTCCCCGAATTTTTCAGCAATACAGATTCAATTTCGTCATCTTCCAAGTCATTTCCTTTGATGGTGCACGTGTACGAGGTGACGTGTTCGCTTAGATCAGTCATCCCGTTATACTTAGGAATCTCGGGCGTACGAAACTTCTTGGGGATTGGCTTCGGAGCCGCACTTGGGGGGAAATTTTTTTGTACAAACTTTTTAGAATCTAGTCCTTTCAATATCTGTGGTGCCCTCGGGATTTAGTCGACCCAGGAGTTATAGGTTTCCACCTGCTTATCATTTTACTCAATCTTCTTTTCCCCTGTCTCGATTTGCTTCGTCAACTCTTCGAGCATTTTTATAATAGCGGGATTGGTCTCCGATTCATTTTCATTCGATTTTCTCAAAGTCGATTCGACCTTATGCACAACTTCTTGGGACAGCTCGAGTTCAACCCTGCTCGACGTGTGGTTCTGATTTTGGAGTTGAGTTATTGCTGCCTGTTGGGCCTGCAACATTTCGAAGATTACCCGCGGGCTAATCCCGCCATCTTCATCACCATACGCATTCTGAGTAGCTGATCGAGTACCCCCCACGAACGCTGTTTTCGGGGATATTCGACGACCACATTTCCATTGATGGCTACATATGAACTGACGTCGATTGGGTCTACAACTAGAACTCCATCGAGTCCAGAAGGGGGTGCAACGTTTCCTGGTGCAATGTTCTCATTCTCGCCGTGGTGGCTGAGATCATTGTCAATGTGTTGAGGTGATGACTGAGAGTTTGACATTTTTTAATTCTGTAATCGAAGATACTTCAAAGAACAAGCGTAAAATAATGTGTGATAAAAATTTGTACCAGACAATCACTATTATCCTTAGCCCCACGGTGGGCGCCAAAATGTTTTAAAATGTTTACCCTAAAAATGGATAACAATTGAATTTATACTGTAATTTTAAGGACATGTGATTTACTTAGCACAAATTGAGAGAAAACTTAAATTGACAATGAAATTAACTGCGAATGTAAATGAAGCAAACCAAATAAAATGTATAGTTTTAATCCTTGAGCTAGGTTGCCCTCAAATCAAGTGAATATTTCGCTAGAAAGTATGAACACAATAACAGAAATATTGAGAGCTTAAGAATAAGAGAGTATATTGCTTTTTTTAACGTGAATATGATGATGAATACAAATGATCATATCCCCTTTTATATAATAGGGTAGTCTTATTCCTAGTATAATCCTAAATACGGTAAGAAATCCCATGATTAACTGATAAATCAGCCTCTTCTTGATATGTGCCGAGATTTCCGTCGTGATCCTCGCCTGATTACGGATATCTTGGTTTTCCGTTATTTTGTTCGACATGTTTCCCTCGATCTTGCTCGATCTCTATCCCGCTCGATCTCGGTCTTGGCTGATCTCGATCTCGATCGGTCCCTAAGTCATGAGCTTGGCCATCTAACTTCGTGCTACGATCCAGTACGACATGGGGTCGAACTTTGGCCTGTCACGCCCCGGTCTCAACTAGTCATACTAAAAAGGGCAAGCCCGATTTAACCGTATACACTAGTAGAGTAGCAAAAAGTATTATATATTACCATTTATCTTCTTAATTTTATTTCTCTTGGCTTTTACACTTTTCATCAGACTATGGAAAATGATTGTTTCACTTCTCTTATCCTCTTCTTATGCTTCCATCCAATATCATACTAACCTAGTAAGAACGATAACTAATATAGTATCACCCGATAAATTACTTTGACTCCAATGTGAAAAAGATTACACTATTACCTTAATTCCATAAAAGATTACACTCTTTATAACATTCTAAAGCAGTAAACACTCGAACAATAATATAGTAATCTACTATTGTCTCTTGAAAGTTGAAGTCAATCTAGAAGCAGCAATACACGAAGAGAAAATGGTTGAGACATGAAGTAGTACAATGTTATTACAAGTAGTATCCAGAAAAAGTGCAACTACTGTTTTCTTTGTTCGTCGGCTTTGTTTAATCGGTTTGATAATTAATCGATATTTCAGTATTGCAAATGCTAATAGTAATAGGGAACTTAAACTCAACAAAGATATGAACATAGAAAGACAACAAGATACAGAGAAGACATAATTAAGAGGCCCGAAATTCTAAGCCGGTACTGTAGGAAGGGGTGAGAATCATCATCATTTGATTCACCGTAAATTTAGCTGCATGTATTAATTGAAAAATATAATGCAACCTGCACCACAACATCACTTGAAAATATTTAACGTTTTCAACTGTCCCGCTCCTTGAGACTTAAATTCCTTAGAATATTTGTGTTCCCTACCTCTATATATACACCACTAGGCTTCACTTCTCGTTGCCTACAAAATAACGAGCCTTTTCTCTTCGTTTCAGTCCCAGCTAATTCAAAGATGATTAACTCTAAGCTTTTCCTTCTCTGGGTTCTGTGTGCTCTTTTTTGGTTTCTTGGTGCCATGCAGCCTTTGTCGTCTGGGGCCGGCTTCAAGGTACGTAAAGGCTCAAAGTTAATGTTTTTATATATAAATAAGAATATACTCCTAATTTGTATAATTAACGCTAATAAGGTTCCAATTATACTTTTTTTTTTTTTTTTTTTTTTTTGGATTGAGGTTGTTCGAATAAGTAAGTAAATTATGATAAACTTATGTACAATTAACTCCCTCTTCAATTCTGATTTGTCCTCTTGTACTTACATTCATCTCATTTTCCTATTTCCATACTTTCATTTTCCAATTTGAACTCAATTTTCCTGAATTAGATTTTTCTCTTTATCCCATTTCATTGATTCATATATATACTTCAGAAGGCAAGGCTATTTGTTTGATTAGTATATGAATTTTATGAAATAAGTTTAAAGTTTTTTTTTAATTATGATTTGACTTTAGGCCATCAATTCTGCTATGCCACCGCTAGTAAGCTCGAGTAACACGCTTGGGGAAGAGAAGTCATTTTACCATCCTGCTGCTTATGGTGGCGGTGGAGGCTCTGGTGCGGGTGGCGGTGAAGGTTCCGGGTATGGTTCTGGGGAAGGGTTTGGTGAAGGAGTAGGTAGTGATGGTGATGGTGGTAGTGGTGGAGGATATGGAGGTGGGGGTGGCAGAGGAAGTGGCGGAGGAATGGGAGATGGTTCTGGTTACGGTAGTGGAAGTGGTTATGGTTACGGTATTGGAACAGGAGCCAGTGGAGGAGGTGGCGGAGGAGGAGGAGGAGGTGGAGGTGGTGGTGGTATGAGTGGAGCTGATGGCACTGGATTTGGTGAAGGGGAAGGTTCTGGTGCTGGCTATGGAGGAGTTGGAATACCTTGAAACCCTAAGCTTTTGTTCATCAATTCTCCAGTAATAAATTGGGACATGCCCGTGACTACTGTCTTTTTCTTTTTTCAACTAATTTTCTTTTCCATCTATCTGTGTCTCTTCTTTGTTGTGGAGGTTTAATTTATTTAACTTTTGTTTCTCCAATTGGCAATATAGGAGTAATAAACTTCCTCCTAGATCATCTTCCAATTTTGCAATGGCATGCATGCATAATTGGTTTTACGCATTTAAATTAAGTTTTTTTTTTCTCGTACGTTATAACATTATTACAATAATTCAGAAACATTTTCCCCCTTTTTCGGTGGGGTTGTAGCTTTTTATTAAAAAAGAGAATACTTGTCTCCTTCATTTCAAACTGTTATTGATCACAGCAAGTGCAATAATGAATAGCTCAACTGTTTTTCAATTTGGATATGTCGATACAAGCACACAATACCTAAAGTATTTAGTTAATTATTTACTGGGAGATCTTTGTTTTGCTCGTCAAGAAACTGTAAAGGGCTTTGTTAATTACTCGAATATATATATGGCCTTTTCACCCAACTTATTAGTTGGCATCAGTATTCAGTGACTCAATAATCAATATCTGAATTGGCCTCTGCTAATCGGGTGCGAGTATTAGCATGGATGGCTTCGTAGAAAGTTGGATTCTAAAACTTTATCTATGGCTGTTTACATTTATCGGCACTAACGAAATAAAAGAACATTTTTGGCATGTGAATTGACCTCCAATGTAATGTTGGGAGAGGACTGTACTATGATAAGGGAACAATATATTTAGTATGTAGTATCATATTCCCAATTTAAAAAAAGAAAAATATGGGAATGTAGCCGAATATGTAATATATATATATATATATATATATA